AACATAAGTAGATTTACCAACCAGACCAATAGCATAAAAGGTAGAAATAGTTGACATCAGTTGTCGAATATTATATTCAGTAAGAGAACCTTGAGAATCTACCTTGGGAGTTGAAATGGAGGAAAAAGAAGCATTTTGATGGTTCAACCGAAACTTGGAAGGCTTTATGTTGTCCTTTCTTGGGAGGCTAAGTGATGCATTTAGCAATAATGTGCCACTGTTGTTTGCAATATGTGCAAAAGTTCCTTTTTCTTTTTTTTTTCTGATAAGTAGGTGCAAAAGCTTTTCTTCCAGTGAGATGCCACAGGTCCAAATTCTTTACACTCATAGCATTGAATCTTCGAAAAATCTTTTTTCCCCTTTTCTTTGGTAGCCAGAAAAACTCCATCCATGCCATGCTCCTTAGTATCAAGAGAGGACTGGGTAAGAAGTTGGGTTTCCTCTCTTAATAACTCACCAAGAATGGCATCCAAATCTGGCATTTTCTCCCTACCGAGAATGTTTGGTCATATTGTCTCATAATCAAGTCGGATGTGTATCAAAAAATGCATAACTTTCCTCTTATCAAAATATTTCTTCATAGTCTTCACACAACAATTCGTAGATAAATCCCCTAGGCGAACCAACTCATATATATCAGCAAAAGGATTTCACTAATACAATTGTTGGAAGAGATTCCAACACCCATCAGTAACACCATTTACAAGTTTGCTCAAAAAAGACTTGGCCTATCTACTCTCTTTTTAGCTAATGCATCTGCTACCCTGTTTACAGTTCTCACCCAGCTGAAGTTTTTTTTTTTTTTTTATCAGTATGAAAGGAATTTAATAATTTTAAAAGAAAGCAGAGAAACAAAACATTGTAGAAGAAACAGAAGACATCAGATGTCTAAACACCCCAAACATTACAGTTGAGCCCAACTCACCCAGCTGAAGTTTGAATTTAATTTCTTTTTAATCACATCAATCTCCCTAAACGCATGTCTGTATTTCCAAGGTGCTTCTTTGAGTTGCTTTTCCCAATGAATTACCAGTTGCGTATCACCTTCAACTTCCAAATCTCCAAGACCAAGCTGTGGTGCTAATCTCAAACCTTGTAGAAGTGCCATGGTTTCTACCTTGACTGAATCTCCCAAGTCTGATGGAACTGAATACATCACAGCCACCAAACCTTTACGCTCCCTCATTGACTCAGCCATCCACATCCCCAACTTCAATGCTTTCCCCTTCCCTGCTTGCAATAACTATGGATATATCTTCTTCATAATCACCCAAATGTAAATAATTAGCAAGAACTTCAGAAACATCATCCATCCTTCCTAGTGAATGACGAATAACACAAAGTCTACCCTTTAAGCCTTTCCTTTTGTAGACCCTTTTTAGAAGGACCAGCCCCCTACATAGGCAGATACCACTTTTTAGTCTAGAGAATACTTTGGTAATATGGACCAAAAGATGGCTTTAGAGCTCTTAACCCTTCTAACTTCATTAACACTCTTATCTTTCAACACAATTCATCATTAGTTGAAACCTAAATGCCACCATTAACAACATTTGACACAAGCATGGTTTAAAATGTCCCTAATTTCCCTAATATTTCCACGACATATTTCCATTTCCATGGGTAGCGACATAAATTTTACTGGAATCAACATTTCCCCAATAAACACTATTAGCACTATATGGAGTACAAGAGATAGTTTCCACAACATATTTCCATTTCTACTTCAATGGGTAACAACATGAAATTTTTCTAGAATTGACATATTCCCCAGTGGACACTACCAATACTATGTGGAGTCTAAGAGATAGTATTATAACATTAGTTGGGGACAATACTTTAGGTATGTGAATTGACAATGTTATTTTCCGCCTAACTTACATGATTACCACTTTGGGCTAGCTCAATATTCTTTTCAAACATGAAGTATTGATTTTTTTGTTGGTGTAATAGATTATTTGGTTGATCTATTACAACCATTTACATTTTCTATGAGTTAAAGTTTTGCTTTAATTCATTCTATCATGAAGTTCTAAATCTTAAGGTTTACAGGGCAACTTTAGAATGCATTCTTTTGTCTATAACCTTAGGCCATGTTTGGTTCATTGCTCTGGGCCTCATTCTTTTAATTCTTGTTCATTCTAGGCAAGAATGAATAACATTAGAGTGTTTGGTTACAAAATTCTTGCCATGGGCTACATTCTTTTTAGAATGAAAAATCAGCCCCATAGCACAAAAATTGAGTAGCTTGCAACATGAAAAATAATCATGCCCCATCTTTCTCATTTTCATTCTTTGAGGAAACTCTGCCCATAAAACTGTTGCCATAGATGTTTACTTTTGCGAAAGCACTTTTACAAAAGTACTTTTATGAAAGTACTTTTACGAAAACATTTTTATAAAAGTACTTTTACATTAAAGCACTTTTATAAAAGTACTTTTATGAAAGCACTTTAATAAAAACACTTTTACAAAAGTACTTTTATAAAAGCACTTTATGGAAATACTTTTACGAAAGCACTTTTATGAAAATACTTTTATAAAAACACTTTTTTGGATGAGCACTTTTACGAAAAGTACTTATATAAAAGCACTTTTAAGAAAGTGCTTTTACAAAACATCTATGTCAACTCATAAACATTGACTATTGGAGACCTAGGTTGGCTGTTTATGAATACTGGCAATTTTTTTTGAAGAATAAAAATGAGCAACATAGGACACGTTAGTTTGAAAAGAATTCATTTTTAGGAAAAAAAAGCATTTGGTTCATAGCAATATTTTCTCATTCTGCCTATTTTTACCCATTCTTGTCTATTTTAGAATTTCATCTTGGGTAAGAATGAGAATTGAACCAAACATGGCCTTAGTTTCTTAGCTTTGTTTAATGATTTGAAACAAGTAACAATTTAAAAAGGTGTGCCCATGCTTCTTTTATCATTTCATACAATATCGTTCTATATTTTGCATATTTTACAATGTTTCCACCATGTCTATAATTTTTACAATATTTCCAACATTGCCAACATGTTTCTTATATTTTGGTGACCAACATTTCCACCAACATTGACATTTTAAACCTTGAACACAATTCATTATGACCTATTCCATTACCTTAGTTCAATAATCCATAACAAAGGAGAGATTTAGGAAGATGTCACCCATATGATAAGAGCAAGATAAGCAAAAAGGATTTGGAGGGGTGTATCAAGTCCTTTATGATAGGTGAATACCAGTATACCACTCAGGCTAAAAGGAAAATTTTATAAAATGGTTGCAGGGCCAACAGTGTTGTATGGAACAAAGTGTTGAGCAGTCTAGTGCAGTCTTGGGGTTTCCTAAGAAATCCAGATGGACAAGCAAGCTCAATGTAGTTCATGTCATGGTCTTTTCAAGGCTGAAGTGGGAGCAAGGCCGACCAACAAGTATAAAAGAATCTATAAAAGAAGGGGAGTAAAATTTAAAACCCAGAGTCTTGTGAATCCTAGCTAGGAACTTCCTTCATCTTCCGGAGAGGCTGATGGTTTGATTGTTCCAGGGGCTCCTTAATGGGAGAAGTCGAGAAAGGGTGATTATTCAGGGATTTCTTGCAGAGTTGAAACTGATGTAGATGAGGCATTTGGTAAGTTGGTGCTGGAGGAAAAGGAAATGAAGATAGGAAGTGTGGACTTGAAGACTCTAATTGATAGGGAGGTAGAAGTCGACAAGACTTTGGGCCTGTTCTTCCTAGGAGGTGAAAGTTTTGCCAGGAAAGCTTTTGAATGGTTCGAAAGAAAGAGAAAGTAGGAGAGTATGAGAAAGTTTCCTGAAGCCTTAGGGGGAGAAACCTAGGATGAGGAGGGAGGTGTAGAAGAATTCGATGAGGAGGGAGATTGATCTGCTCCCAGTAGTTGTTGCTTGGTGATGGTGCTTCGGTGTTGCATCTGTGGCTTCTTTTCTATTTTTATTTCTTTGTGTTGGTTTGGAGAGTAGTTGGATCATTGATGGTTTAGGGGGTCTTGTCTTAACACCTGCCTTTAGGATTATATCCATTTTTTATTTTTAATAAATTTTTTTTGCTACTTATCAAAAAAACATAACATGATTGATGTAGCTGATCCTATATAGTTGGGACAAGGCTTAGATGATGATTAGACCCACAACACAATCAGTTAGTTCCAATAACAATTAACAAAATATCAACTTGTGCATTTACCACAACACTTGTCATAACCTTAACACACCCACTTCTTTGAATAGCTATATTGCCCTTTACGTCTAGGCCACCATGAAGGAGTCAAAGAGCTAACTTTGGAAACTTTTGAATTTTTTATGTTTTTTTTTTAAATAGGGTATTTGGTCAACTAAAATAATATATACGAGTCTGGTCTAATAGTTTGATTTGTTGTCTAGTTTCTTTTTTTTTTATGATAGTGGCAATTCTATAATTTCAGTTTGTCCTGGTCCTAGTAGGGTTTATCATCCCTATAGTGTATATATATGTATGTGGAGTTACAAAATCATGGCTAATGAATTATGGGGAATATTTTCTGCTTATATGATGGTAAGTGATTTCCAAAGCATAAGAGTAACTCTAGAAACCTTAGGAGTGATTCCTACTCTTGTCTTCTCTTTCAAGTTTTTTTGAGTTCAACCACCAACAGCCATCAAATACCTAGAAATAAACAATCATAAGCCATCATTGAACATCATACACACACATTGACAATTTCCAGTGTTGATTTGACATAACGTAAATATATAGGCACCAAAAAACAAGAAACAATAAGGATAATCAGATATTCTGGAACCTTAGTATCAATAGAAGGTTAATGCTACCTGGATGATCCAAAGATGAAATCATTCCTATATATGTAGTATATGGTCCTGATGCAAAAGGGTATACATTCACAGAGGAAGGTCCTATGCAGGTGCTTTTCATGCTATATCCAGTGTAAAGTTGGTTAGACATATGTTATAAAATGTGCCCCCGATGTAATAATACTCTTGAAAGACGAACACTCTTGAACAAACCAACAAACACAGTATACGCGTATCACTTGCTTCCACACGCCAAAGCAGTACACAGAGAGATACAGTAGATTGGCCAATTATCTAATAAATCTTCATATTCCTTTGTGCGCTTTTCAGATAAGATAAGAATGCCCAGAAAGAGTACTGAGGTATCAACACAGTTAAAGGATAGATGCAACTTCTCAGAGAAAAGAAATTATACAAAGAGATACAATTTTTTTCTCGATCAGGGTTTCATAAATATAACCATGATGCAAATTGCTGTGCATACAACAATGCGATTGATTAAGTCAAATGAACCCGTTTCAAATGTAAGAGAGAATCCACTAACCCAACAAATCAGAGGTGCTTATTCTTATCAACTTCTTTTCCCTTCTTAGCCAACTTCGGCCTTGGTTTCAGAGGCTTCAAATAACCAGCCTGGAACTTAACCATAGCCCTCAAAACCGAAATCAATCTCTGCTCAATCTCAACCCCACGAGGCTCGAGAACCCGCAAAGACCGAGCAACGGCCTCCATCGTACTCATACACCCATGAAATGGCTCCTTTCTAAGAACCAAGTCGGAATCAAATATAGTTCCACCCTCCACGCCAGTATCATAATTCAAAGAAACTTGAGTCGCAAACATTGACAAGAACGGAAGACTCGCACTTACCATCTCCTTAGCATGCTTCCAAGTACCATCAAACACAATCAAAACCAAATCACTTATTCCATCTTCTTTTGAAGAGTTTAACGAAACCCAATCGTTCAGTTCAACCGAGGGCGACGAATCGGTACCTGGAAAGAGATATATCGCTCGACGAGGTCGACTGGGGTTGTCAACAGAGGCTCTGTAGAGGGAGTCGAGGAGAGGGGAAGAGCCAAGACGGAGGCGGCGGCCGACGATGGTTTGGCAGTTCCGGAGGCATTTGGAGAGTACGGGGACGGTGGCGAGCTTGTGGCGGAGCTCGTGAGGATGGTGTAGGATAAGGATTTGGGTGGAAGTTAAGAGGGGTTCAGAAGGGAGTTCAGAGCAGAGGCACACGTTAGTAGGACGGCCACAGCCATTCAAGCATATTTCCCGCCTTTCCTGATGACTGGTAATACCTTCGTTCTTCCCGCCCGTTTCTTCGAATACAAAACATGTCAACATTCCTTCTTCTTCTTCTTCCACTCTTCCGCCATGATCCATCATCCATGTAAAGAGTTTCTGCTCGCCCTCACCAGGGTGAACTCCTGGTTCGAGTTACGTGGTCGCAGTGCTCCCTCTGCGACCTTCCAATGAAACACGTTGACGCTGTAGTGGCTGTTGGAGAATTCCAAATTTTCAACCGCTGCTCAAAAGACCGCCATGCCCTAAGCCCCTAACCAAGGCGGGGGTCCATCCGAGTATTACGAGTAGAACTGTAGATGGTTCGAACTCGTCAACTCGGACGCTCCCCTCTCTCTTTCTCACGAGGAGTCGAGGACAATTAAAAAAAGGTCAGATGGGGCATGGAAGGAGAAAGCTCCAAAAAGTTTGAGCAGAGAAAGACAGAAAACCAAAAGCATGACGAGCTCCACTTCGGCCCTCCCTTCAGCCATCGATGTCTCCACTTTCGATCACACCCCTTCATATTGGTACTCTCTCTCTCTCTCTCTCTCCACTTATAAAGAGCAGCACAGACATTACTAGTTATAAGGAATTTGGTTTAGCACATCCTAATCGAAGCAAGATTTGTAGTATGATTACATGTATTTAGTGGAATTGTTCTGGTTCTGGATTGAGATGTCCTAATTCTTATTATTGTTGTCTTGTCGAGCAATCCATTATTGCATATGCTGAACTTGTATTTTAGCCAAGCTAGTTTTTGGGTTTCGACGCTCAATCTCGGGAATCTTCTCAAATCTCCATGCTCAATTTCAGGTGTTAGATGTATATATGCTGCTTTATTTCCGGAATGGTTTCAAATGAGGAAGGCTCTTTACAGCCATCAAAAAATAAGAAGATTATTTACTGAAACGGTTCATACATAATTATTTTTTTTAAAACAAAGAACATATATGTTAAAATCTTTTGAGAGGGCAAAGTAATTCCTTCCAATGTTTAGTGCTTCTGAAATGGAATCTCTGTTTTGATCAGGAGAAGATGCTTAAAAATTAAACCATCTGATGTAGAGAAATTTCATATACCCACGATTTTGAAGATCAGAATAATAAGTAGTTTCATTTCGATTTTTGGATTTTGGTGTCAAAATATTTTATTTGTCTGTACATTTGTTTGGCTTAATTCTGTATAGTGACTGGGTTATCTTTTAGTTATTACTTTGTTTGTTAATGTTGTATTGTTGCATTGGTTATCACTTGTGAATTTGACATTTTCCTTGATTTTTTTCATATTCTTCACATGTTTAAGTGCTGTACCTTTTTCTTACAGTGAAGAGAATGTATACTACCTTTGCAAGAAGTTGTGCATGATTGGGGCTGCAGAGACAAATGGTTCTGATCTTTTTGTTGTGTTCATTTCCAACGAGAAGAAACAGGCATGCATGTCTTGATTTCCTTACATGAAATTACCTTTCCAGGTAGTTTGTTTCAAGTTGAGTTTTATTTAATTAATTAAAATAAACTTTATATTCAACTTACCAGAATACATAACACAGATGCAAATGCACTCCCCACAAATTCTAAGTTTGGTTAATTTTCATGTGTCGTTAATAGAACTAAAGATATTCAAGTTGCAGGCAACATTTGATTTAGTCATATGGTTTGTTAAATTGACTAAAAGTGTCTTATGACTTAGCTTAAGTATTTTGTGCTCTTTTCTTCTTGGGTTGCATATTGTGTTCAACTGACAAGTTTTTATAACACAAATGCATTAGGTCATCAATTTCTGAATAGGACAATGACAGAAGGGAGGTAAATGCATGATTTTTCAAAACTACAGGGGAGGATTTTGTTAAAGTGAAAAGACGGGAGGGTTTTATGATTGTCAGAAAACTTGGGGGAGGTTTTTATATTTTACTCTAAATTTAATAATAATAGGAGTGCAAATTAGGGTTCACATAGGATTGGAGACTAAGAGATAATTCAATGTGACTTTTTTCTGGTACCTTGGTTTGATAATCATAACAAGGGAAAGATTGAAGATGTTGCCCATAGAATTAGAGCAAGATGAGCAAAATAGAGGGGTGCATCCAGAGTGTTATATGATAGGCAAAAACCATTTAGATTAAAAGGAAAATTCTATGAAACAGTTACAAGGCTAACTATGCTTTATGGCACAAAGTTTTGGGTAGTCAAGAAATAACATGCCCATAAAATGAATGTGGCAGAAATGTTGTATGTTGAGATGGATGAGTGGAATAACTAGAAAGGATAGGGTCAGAAATGAAGTCATTCAAAAGAATGTAGATGTAGCTCAAATAGGTGATGAAATGAGAGGAAGTAGACTAAGATGGTTAGCACATGCATAGAAGACACATAAAACCTGTAAAAACAAGTTATCCGTTACAAGTTGAAGGGGCTAGAAGTAGATGTGTCAATGGGTCGGGCCTGGTTTGGGACAGGGGTGCACCAGTCCCGAACAGATTAATAATTGGTTCCATATGATAGACCTAGAACCATCCCAATTATTAATCGGGACAATTGGTCTGACCCGATTAGACCCAATTATATATAATTACCTATGATAATAACAACTTAAAACTTTATTTTTGATAATATAACCTTAATAAAATGATAGTAAAATAGTTAACTGTTTATATGTTGATAAAACAAGTGTTAACCAAAATTATCCCATATACTATCTATGAAATTTACCCTTTTAGACATTAAATACAACAAAAGTTACAAGAAAAACAGGAGGCCTTTATGTATTATTAACTACACAATTAGTTCGGATCTGAACTGGTTTGGAGAAGCAAGAGCCGCTCCCAACCCAATTATTAATTGGGACAAAATCATAAAATCAGAACTGACATACTGTTTTGGTTAGTTCAGTTCTGTTGAATAGACCCAACACCCAACCCATTAACAGCCCTAGGTACAAAGGGCTAGGGGCAAAACCAAAAAGGACATATGACTAATCAAAAAAAACAAAAAGGACATGGGTTAAGGTGGTTGACAATGATTTAAGTTCTCATAATTTAACAATGGATTAAAGGACTTTCAGTCAATGATATTAGCAGAAATATTCACCCCTTTCTGTTTCTGCCTCATCCTCAGCAAACTCCCTTGAGGCATCCCATATCCATCAGTGAAGGTGTGATAACCCTTAATTTTGACAGTTGTGCCTTAGGCAATCCGGGCTTTGCAGGTATTGGTGGTACAGTAAGGGACAAAAGGGGCAATATCTGCTGGACTTTTAGTGGTCCAATCGGTTGGGCCGACTCCACAAAGGCTGAAGTGATGGCTGCTCTCACTGGAATCAGGATAATAAAGAATTTGGGAATTCAGAATTTAATCATTGCAGGTGATTCAGCAAATAAGCTAAAATGGTTAAGAGACAAAGGGGGCCCTTGGAGACTATATCACTATCTGACTGAAGCTTGGGATTCTTTGGATGGTTTGAATGTTAACGTAGTTTGGATTCCTAGGGAACACAATCATACTGCAGATGACCTAGTTAAATTTGGTGTGTATTTGGAGCATCTATATAGCGACAAGCTTCCTCCTTTGTAACTTGCAGGGGTTCCCCCCCCCCTCTGCTTTGTATATCT